CCAGCTACCCCATCCCTCCCCCAAATTGTCTTTAAAGAAAACTGAAAGACAATTTGGTCTTCTTTTTATATGTTGAATCCACTTGGGTAACATTTAACCGTATATTTATTAATGGACTGAACCAAGATACTTCTATTTTAGTTACAAGGACCAGGATGGAAAGGGAAACTATGTTCACTGCAGATTTAGTTAATTTGGCAAATGAGCTTACTTGCATCCTTGGAGGAGTCACTTAGAATTCTTATTTTTCAAGTCTTGCAAATAAGGGCCCTAACCAAAACAAAAACCCTCCTACTTTCTGTTATTGCAAAGAGCCAGGACATTAAAAAAAAAAAAAAAAAAGATTGTTACCAACTGAAATGCTCCAGGAGCCTTCAGCTCCCTAGCCAGCCTTTCCAATGTCTTCCTAATTCCCAATGACAGGGCTCTTGAGGAACAACAGGAGCTCTTCCCAATCTTCCCTCTTAATCAGCTCAGAGAAACCACTCTCCAGATTGGGAATCTATCTGTCTCTACTGATGTGAGAGCTACACTCTTGGTGCTCAACCCCACTGCAGCCTCTGCCTCAGAGTACTAAAACAGTTCAAATAGTAGGGATCTCTAATAAACAGCAACAGGTTCCTGTCCCTGAACCTATTCCCATTTGTCTAGGCACTTTGAGAGACACAACTCTTTCTTAGTTCCTCTGTCCCATTGGGCCAAGATCTCTTAGAAAAATACCATACCAGAATTCCTTTCTTCCTAAACAGGGAAATAATTCTGGAATTTGAAGGTAGTAATCAAAATAGCCAATTAGGTAAATTAAATGGACCTCTGACATCTATTATTTGCTCCATCTCTGGCAGCGCTATAGCTGAGTTTGGGGACACTGATCATTTGTCCCTATTGGATCAGTTACCATCCTCTTGATGAGCAAGATCTTCAACTGATGTTGGCAGAATCCAGAGTGCATCTCCCATCAAGATTCAAACAGATCCCTCAAAACCCGTCCCCAGAATTAATGAACAGCCTATAAATAAAGAAGCCTTGCAAGGCATCAAGCCCATAATAAAAGATTACAAGGCTCTGGGCTGCATTAATCCCTATACTACTCCCTGTAAAACCCTTATTTTACCTGTAAGAAAACCAGACAGCCAAGGATGGAGGTTAGCCCAAGCAATAAATAACATTGTTATCCCTTGGCACCTTGTTCCTAACGGCTCCCCAACCCCCATATGCTACTGACATCTATTCCACTGAAAGCAGATTTTTCACTGTAACTGACCTCTGCAGTACGTATTTTAGTATTCCAGCTGATAAGGATAGCTAATCTTTTTGCTTTCACTTGGGCAGAATGGGAAATACACCTGGCCAGTAATGCCTCAGGCCTAAAGAGAGTCCTTCTTACGACCACAAACCTCAAAAACTGATTTAGATGATATAGTTTTCTGTAGGCTCTACTTTGTTATACTATGTAGATGATTTGCTTCTCTGCTCCCTTTCTCAAAACTCCTCACAGGAAGACAGCATCTAACTGTTGCAACTTTTGGCCTTAAAGGGACATATACTCTCCAAAGATAAACTGCAGTTTGCTCTAACTTAAGTTTGATACTTAGGGCACCTGATCTTGGAACAAGGACATTTGGATCCAGGTAGACTTCAAGATATCCTGAACTTCCTAAAACCTAAAACTAAGCACCAATTATGAGGTTTTCTTGGACTTGCTGGCTACTGTTGGAAATGGGATCCCAAAATTCTCTCTTATGACTTAAACTCTATATCCTTTACTAAAAAATGACAAACTTGACCTTATTATTTGGAAAGGTCAGGAAGATGTAACCTTTGGAACTTTAAAAAAAAGCCTAGTAATGTCCCCTGCCCTTGGATGTCCTAATCATCAACTTTACTTTTACCTCTTTGTAAGAGAGAAGAGAATGCCCTTGGGAGTACTCACCCCAAAACATGGGGACATCATCAACCCATAGGGTATTACAGCTAATAACCAGACCCTGTGGCATGAGACCTCCTTGTCTCAGAGCCATTTCTGCCACCACCACTTTAATTAAGGCCACTGAAGAAATAATAATGGAGGGGCGCCTGGGTGGCTCAGTGGGTTAAATGTCTGCCTTTGGCTCAGGTCATGACCCCACGGTCCTGGGACTGAGCCCCATGTTGGGCTCCCTGCTCTGTGGGAAGCCTGCTTCTCCCTCTCCCACTCCCCCTGCTTGTGTTCCCTCTCTCACTGTCTATCAAATAAATAAAATCTTAAAAAAAAAATAACCATGCTTTGGTAGAGCGATCTTTTCACAGTGCACTCCCTAGAGATGGCAACCTTAAGCATCACTTTGCAACCTGAAGATTTCATCTAGTGAAAAAGACACCTCCAGAAAGACTCTCTTCAACCTTGTGCCACCAAACTCCAACAGAATCCTGGATTCACATGACATATCTAGAGAAAGCACTAAACCCTGACCAGACCTGCAC